GCTTGCTGCCATCTATCGCCGTCTAAAGTACATTTTTTTGACAATTTCTTAATTTTTCAGTTTCCTAATTGTAGAGCGGAAATTTTAATATTATTAAAACAGTAAAACCTGGTTTTAAATGGCAATTTTCTTTGAAAAATTGGAGTCATTTTTAAAAAACCGGCGTTTACGCGCTACTGTAAATTCGAAATTGAAGTTATTTTTCACAGAAAATTTTGAGTTTTCGAAAAACTTCATTTGAAGTCGTTTTAAATACTTTAACTCACAAATACAGTAGTCTTTACAAATTGCTGAAAATGAACGTATCAATGGCGTGAGAGATCTTTCAAAAATTTACATTTGTGTATTTTGGGTGGGGGGAAATCTAACAAATATGCGTTCAACATACACATTTAACACGAATCGATATTCAATGATTCATTATTTCGTGTTTCCGGGCGCGTCAACGGATATGATCACCATTCTCGTAAGTGCAGTGCATGTTTTATTCGTGACATTTATCTCCCGCTGGATGAAGAAATCTGGCGGCGACCTACACTCGACTTGCGAGGTTTTCCCCATTAAGATATCACCCATTCGCGTGGCATCGCCTCAGCCAGGACAAGCTCAAAACTCGACGTGTATAATAGTGTAGTGCATGTAAGTGTGTATGTCAGTAAGTGGTGAGAATAGGACATAATTTTAAGAAAAGTTTAAGAAACATTTAAGATTTTTTTTCTCGTATGAGTTAATGGTATATTTATGAAACATGAAACAAATTTTGATATCAAATGCCCTTAAATGTACACATATTGAGCGGGAGAATGAAATTCAGTCGCAGTTTGAACATAGCAAGTAAGAATGTCCAGGATTGTTGGAAATAAACGAACGGAAACTTATGAAAGGAAGCCTGGTGCTCCGATAAATTGAGGACGTTGAGTCTTGTAGTCCTTCATTAAATGGCATCCGGATGTACGAGGTAGGCTCGGGAAGAGGAACTTTGTGCAACGGAGATGAAAGCCAAGGCTACATAGAAAAATCCGACGTATTAGAAGAGAGAACATGTCTAATTTCCTCGAATTGTTTTTTTTTTTTTTCCTGAACACGAGTTTATTTTGTCACTACTACTCAATATCCACTCAGCAGATTAAAAGCGGTGTTGTTCCAAACAATTTTTTGTAAAGGAAACTTTTTTGTCCTAATATTCCTTTCCGATCGTGAGTATATCCTACAAACTCTTGCTACAATTTTCATCAGAATTCGAGTTGCTACAGACGTCTTAACCAGCGTCGGTATATCTGATTTCACTTCAGTTGATTAATCGATTTACATTTTATTGTTGTCTAATTTTTATAAATTCCTTGGCCTCACCAAAATCAAAAATAAGACTTGCAGGTATTTGTAAAGCATATTATTGATAGCGAAAAATAATTTCACACACAATTCATCACAGGTCCTAATTCACCCTTAACTTGGCACCTTCAATTCCTTGTTTGCAATCTACAATTTCTTAGTAGTTTTTTGTAAAATGGAAGTGTTAAACTGTGTCTTCTGATTACGACGATGTTAGAAGGTTACTAGTGTATGTTACTTGTTAAGTTTTATTTACAATTTTTATTGTCGTATTATTTCAATTTACCGTAATGAGTAATCCCATTATATTTTTGGCATTAATGTAATAAAAAATAACGATTTCAGTTGAAATTATATGTTGTTTAAAAATATTCCAAATATTGGGAACAAAATAATTACAATTGAAATAGCTGACATGATTGTCAAAAATATAATGGAATAATTCTTGAATATTTCTATTCTAGTGTATCTACTTTTAGAGGTATTATTTAGCGTTGTAGGATACAGCAAATTCTACCACGCAATAAGGTGACGTCTGTGACACGACAGAGAAAGAAACAAGGTTATATACACAAGGGGAAAATACTTATCAAACCACGATACAGCAAGTACTTACCGAGTGTATTCGTGGCTCCCATGCACATCACCTATGACGTCTGTTGTGAAGGTACTTGTTAGACAGTCTTTAGCGCCTATTTACACCGGGTCTGTTTGTTTTTGTTTAGACATTTGTGTCGTCATTCACTCGCCTTTGCTCTGAGACTCGTGTTGCTGGTCCAGATTCCGCCCTTTCTTTTGTACAGGAACTGTGTTAGAACTAAACGAGACATTAGAATCATCCAGACTCTTTGTACATAAATTGTATAAATCCGAAAACACCACTTTTATCGTGCTTTCTGTACGTTTCGTGATGAATGTGAATTTCTTGCACTTTTCCGCATTATTAATATTCAGGATTATTTAATGTAAAAACACTAAATATGTTTCGTCTAATCACATCACAGTGGTAAAACAAAACTACGAAAACTCGAAGGGCGTGTGTTTCTTACACCACCTATTCAATATATTATAATGAAATTAATCAGTCCCTTTTATTAAGAATTACACGTTTTCAAAGATACTATCAAGATCACCCTACAAAAAAAGTTCAAAATCGCTCAGAAATCAATTTAGCTTTAATATTATATAATTATATCATGTTTCAATGAAAAACCTACATTGTTTCTGTGAAACGATGTTCCACAAATTCGAAGTAACTGTGAGCCCTGCCACTTCAGTAATCTCGGGAATGTAGAATACAATGTTACGGTCATAATGATTAATCAGCGGTTATGTTTTACCGCTTTATGAATAACTAGCTTAGTGTGCCACTTCCTGCTGGTATTTTCAGTTTCATTTGTGCTTTGCCAGCCCACAATAAAAATAAATTTTAAATATTTACAGTTCGCCGATGAATCGAGAAGAAACGACTAATATAATTGCCAAAAAGAGTGTAGTAATTCTTAGTATTTCACCAGTCTACTCTTAGATTCAATGAAACCAAAAAACCACAAAACCACGTGCTTTTTAGAATTCTACCGTATCAGAATGGGAATCGGATTAGAATTTTGCCAATAGATTTGCCGAGAGAAATCAAATGGACAATGGGAAAATTTCCGTAACTGCTTAAGCCATCCAATACGTTCCTTAAAAAACATAATTTTTTAAGAGAAATATCTAAGAATCTTGTAGATTGAGCCACAAATAAATTAATAGTTCTTCACCAGGAGGCCACCAGGATGCGTCATATGACACTTCATTTGTCTTGATTGGTGGACCGGAAGTGGTCTGAGCTTGAGCGACGGGCAGACGGAAGTTTCTCGATTACTCAACAAGAATTACCACATCAGTTAGCCAAAAACTTTTTAGGGTAAATCAATTACGTGGTTAATATACTGTATTTTGAGAAAAACGCGTTTGAAATATGCGTTGGGTAGACTCGAGGATGTTTTATGCGAAGGCTGAACAAAGGAGTCTCACCTCTAACTTGCATACGCATACCGTCTCTAAGTTGAACCGCGTTATAATTAATTAAAGTGATTCTTTTTTAAGAAAATCACATTGACTGATTTGGGTGAGATATTATGAATACCGGTTAGATATACATAATGGCTACATTCTAGATAATGGCTGCACTAAATACTTTGACTGCAGCTTGTACGGTAAAATTGTTGTTCTAACGTAGCGTAGAGCTCACTGCGTATTATTATTGTTTTTAAAAATGTGCTATTGAAGTTCATAAGAAAATAAATTTTCAACATAATTCAGTTGCTTGCCTTTTTAATCCTCGGATATGTAAAGAATCAATAGAAATAAGTAGCTACTCCGCTGTCCGGGAGACGCCGCGTTTATTGAAATGATGACTGCGCTCTTATCTCTAAATTCTCTTATGTCGAGCACTCGTAAGTCGGGGTGAATGCGTATGCCAATATATGGTATAATTAATAGAGAGAACTTGGAAATATTGAAAAAGTAGTTTATGTTATTTAGAATAGCAATATTAATTAATTTGGTTTTTAATATAAACGATGTAAAAATGAAGTATGACGAAATAGCAATTGAGATTGATTGAAAGATAGAACAAAAGAAGCAGGTGTGCTCATGTTACGAAGGAGGAGTCAGGTAAAGATTGTTTTGCCCCGAGAAGCTGAACAATAAAATGATGGCATTATTGAAAAAGTTTTAGTTCACTGAGTTTAGTTCGAATGTAGTCGCGGTGAGGTATGGACGTGTTCTGCTGACGAGCTTCGCGGTTGGTAATAATTTTGATAATAATGTAAAGTTACAAATTGAGTAACAGTTAAGTTACAGAATAGTAACATTTTGCTTTGCGATAATTTTTCAAGTCAAAAAAGTAATTAAAAAATAGTTATTCACAACGTTCGGGTGTGGAATGAATGAAACCTGTACTTCGACGCTCAGGGATAGAAAGTGGTTCTTGGTGAGAAAAAATGTATTTAGTCATACAAGTGTGGTGATTGTCGTCGGAAAGAGAAGTGAACATTTCAAAGGAGACTTGTGTGACTAATGCTTGTGAATGTTATCTTAGTGTGAATTATTTTTTATTGTCAAATTATAATTAGAAGAAGGTCAATTGTATATGTTTCTATTGTATGGTATGATTATTTGCCAGAAGAAAATCAAAGGAATAAATATCGTAACTACAACAGTTGTGCTTCATTGTTTTCCTACGGAAATGTACTGTTATTGTTGAGTAGTATAATAACGCGTATTCGAGTAAATTCATCAATTCAGAGTATAAGTGTTTCATCAGTTACACCGTACGATGGTGGATGTTCAGGCCCACATCATTAATTAATAAAATCCTTGAGATATTGAAAGTTGATTCGAAAGATTTTAAACCATGATATATCATTATTATTAACATAATTTAAAAAAAGGTGTGCTAGCCAAAAAAAATTAAATATATAAATATTAATAGGCGATTGATGATGTTTCACTAAAAGTGTTTTAATAATTAAATTTGTTCAAAGAATAGGTTGCCCCGACCGGGACTCGAACCCAGTTTACCCCCAGCTGCTCTAAGCTACCGAGACAATATATAGATATGCGTGTGCGCGTGTGTATAGAAATGTTTTCCTAACGGTTCGCCATCTGACATTGCCCAGGGCTGTGCCGCTGCCGTACGCATACGAGACCAAGTTCCTGGGCGTGCCCGGGCTCGTGTACGAGGGCGACAACAGCTCCATGGACAATGGCCAGCTGTACCCGGAGAAGGCGTGCAACTGCATGGGCGAGTGCGTGCCCAGAGGCGCGCTCAACATCTCGCTGTGCCGTTGGAACGCCCCGCTCGTCCTGTCCATGCCGCACTTCTACCAGGCGGACCCCGTCTACCTGTCGTTCTCCGAAGGACTGAACCCCGACGCCGATAAGCACCGCGTGGAGTTCGCGCTCAACCCGGTAAGTGTAGAGCAGAGATCTCAACATTAGAGCTGGATGCACAATTGCAATGCTTTGGAGTGCTGAAAATCGTGACGGTCGTTTTCCGTTAGATTGGCTGCGGTGAACGTCTACCTACAGACTTTCTTACGAGTTGAATATGTCTTGGGTGTTGTTAGTAATATCTCTGTCAACGAAAATGCCAGAGTATTATGTAACACTCGGTTGTAAAGAACACCAATAAAATGTTAACAATATGCGAATGTTATTAGATGAGATATTATTTGGTAGCCATAATTTGAATACTTTTTTTCCGACAACGATTATTTGCTGAAAGTCTAACAAAATTATTAAAGATTCTCTAACCAAGAACATTCCCCATCTTTCCACCATGCATTCACCCACGTGATAGTTGAAATTTCAAAATATTCAATATTGGTTACTTTCAACTTTTTATTAAGTTTTAGTGAACATAAAAGAGAATAAATGTTTAAAATTCGATTGAGACGTTAATTCCTGCAATTTGATTCTGAGATAACGAGGAGAGAATAGACGTTCACCATCGTGGCGGAAAGTCACGATTTCTGTAAATTCTTTTCTATCCAGGAGACGTCGCGTCGTTGGCTGAGAGGCCTCAGGGTAGTGACTGCCCTGAGGAAGCCTGCGACATGACAGGCGAAACGCCGGCCTCTCAGCCAACGACGCGGCGTCACCCGGACAGCCAAGAAGTCATGAACTCGAACCGCGGAAGCTTACGTATATGTCACGATTTCTGATCACGGAGTGTTGTCTCCAGTTGATCCTTTAATCAATTCAATTTAGTGTCGGATCGCCACCCTCCCCCCTCGGTTGTTGTTGAAAGCCAAGTTAATGTCGTAGTTTAGAGCTAGTTGTGCAATGCAACGGATAATCGATTTCCAGATTACAATGGTAATGCATGTTTTAGGGTCCTCTGATAGCAATATTTATTTTCAAAACGTCCGTCTCTCCATCCGTCTGTCCTTCCGTCCCTCCCTCCGACCATCAGCCCGTCCAGTATAAGCATGACTAACGCCTAAACTAGTAGTATCATTTTCTTCCGAAGAGAATAGTAAAACCGAAATGGCCCGACGCAAATCAGTGCAATTTTGAAAAAAAAAACCTTTAAAGAGGGAGGGTACACTGGGACGTTTTGGGACATTCTGAACATTTTTATACATTATTGGAGTTGTGAATATAAGTACTTGAAATCTAATGAAATTTCTCGTAAACTTGAAAGTTTTCTTTGAATACGACCTCAATATTGTGCATTTTTAGAAACGCTCAAGTAACATTTTCTATGCCTCAAAATTGTCAATGAAAATTTGAATGTAAGTCCAGGTTGTGCTCTTCTATATTTTTAAAGTTATATTTCAATTTTACTATTAGGGGCCCGAAAAATTGAGATATTATGACAAATTTCCTTTGAGCGGGAATTGACGACAGCGAGAAGAGGGTGGGCCAAGCTTGCCCAGACCAAAGAGGTTAGGTTACTAACAAAAGAGAGAAAGTCTGGACCTTTCTGTAGCAACACTAGTTTTGTTCTTGTTAGATGGGTCTGGTGATGTACCTGAAAAATCTCTCCCACGCTTGCCAGTTATGGTTGAAAGTATTAGCCTACTGGAGGAGAATAAGGGTCAACGAGAAACGTGGTGGCAGCTTCTGTCCAACTACGCAGCAACACACTTGATCAGGAAATGAGACTAAGTAGATGCAACGTGTATTTGCCTTCCATATCAGCTTCTTAGCCACCCTGCCAGGCGAGTGCTGAAAGGATTTCGAAAGTGTTGCGTGGAGTGGGGGAAGCATTACCGTGCCACAACACATGGGTAAACAATAATGCTTAAGACGAAATCACTCCCTCGGTTCGACGTCGCCACTGTACGACTGCCTTAGCCATCTCAGCCGATCTAGTCGACCCTTTTCACTTTCCCCCTACAGAGTAGTGAGAAAGTTACGTAATGATGCGCGAAAAAACGGCGAATTTTAGGCAGAAAAAACTCATATTACTGCACCGTGGTAACAAAAAAGTGGATAACTCTAGTTGCTAATTTTAGAAAAATATTCTCTAACACGTGGTGCAGCCAGAATCCATTCTCGGTCGTTTCTTGATGTCAAAAAAATTGAATGACGGCAAAACTTCTTTCTGTCCATTCATCTGTGAACAACGCTAGCGGCGATAGCGTTAAGCCGATTTTCTCCTATCGATCCTTTTTTGATACTCCCCAATCGATCTGGCAGATGTCGCAGCCCCTTGAATTTGAAACCGATATTTTAATTTTGGGGGCACTTTGGGGTACTTTACATGAAACCCCTGGAACATCTTCCAAATTTTCAGAAAAATGGCACCATCGCTTTTTATCAAGTTTTGTTGCTGGGTAGTGTGAAGGAGGTTTCAGAGAAATGTCCAGGTCTCATGCTCGATAAAAACACTTTTTTCGAAAATTGCAAAACTTCGAATTTTTTTTCGAAGTTTTCCTACAACTAAAATATTAAAAAGAGATTGTTTTCCTTAATGCAATTTGATCCTTAAAGAGAGATTTTGAAATAAGGTCATGCACAATTTTTCGAAAATTTGAGTACTTTTTTGCGTAATATTGCGTGAAAATATGGGCGAGAAAATACGTACTGTTTTAGTACCACTAGTTATGTACTTGTATTGTAAACCATTCTGCTCAGTTTTCCGGTTAAATACATATTGCCTTTTCTAAATTGCCTTTTATAGTACGTCTGGACGTTTTCGTATCAATTACCAATGACGTTTCGTGTTTGTTGCAAGATCTTTTGAGCTCTGCTATTGGTGTTTCTAAAGAACATCAATGATAATTCATTTTAATAGAAGTATCATAAGTGAAAATTGGGTGTGATTATTCTGAAAAGCCTTGAGATAAGGTTTTGAAAAAGCATTGCCTAACGTCTAGTACTTGAAATGAATTTAAGTAGTTATCAGGCTTATGACGAGGCAATGATAATTGATATATGAATGAATATTGTTTTACGCAGTGTTTTTCAGAGAGTCGTAGCTATTTCTGAATGTCGTCGTATTTACTCTGTCACCGTTATGGTATGACGTGTCGCAGAAAATGACTGCGCACTTCACTCGAGATGTTCCATTTCATTGAATGGCGCAACATACCCGCTCAGCACCCAATCAACACGGAACAAATCTTTATCTTTAGGGTCATAATTTAAGCTGAAGTACTTCAAGTGTGATTCTAAGTTGTCGTATGATAAGGTCTTGCTACCATCGTTATAATTAGATTTACAACTTGGTAATTTGGTACCACTAGAATACTCTATATTAAAACAATGAGTTGCATTTTCACTTTCTTGCCATACGAAGGTACTTCATAGGAAGACAAAGTCATGTGATCGTGCGTCGGAAAATGGCGAATTTTCAGCAGGAAAACTCTTCTGGCCTGTCCCTGGTAATGAAAAAGTGTTGCTATCCTGTTGCTAAATACAGAAAAAAAACATGTAAGACGCGATGAAGACAAAATACATGTTTTGTGGGTTCTTGATACCGAAAAATCGATTGACGACAAAACATCTACTGTCCTTTCGCCTGTGGTCAGCGCTAGCGCCTAAACCGTTCAGCTGATTTTCTTTAAAATTGATATTCCCTGATCGACCTGAATGAACCCGAGATTTGAATTGAATTTAATTAAAGCCTTATTTTACGTGGGTAGACTCAGACAATGAGGCCTACTCTTCCTTCTGACCACGCAAATTTCGCTTCTCTCCTTTCGCCAACTAGTAGAGAAAAGGAGGTATTTCTTGGGCGACAAAACAGGCGATTTGAATTTAGCTCAGAGACTTCATTTAGGATTGAAAATCTTTTAGAGAGTAGAAAATCTACGAATGTGGTACTGACGGCTTTACTTCCCTTCCGCATGAAGGATTTTTTAGCCTTTAAAATACCACGGCTTGGATCGTGTTTGAGCATGCGGACTTGCCTGAAACAATCCGATACGCTAATCGTTGCCCCATCGCCGCCGTTAGGGAGTTTAAAACGGATATTTTGATTTTTGAGGGTATGAATTATTTGAAGCCTTAGAATTATTTTCAAAATTGTCTCAAAAATGGCACCAAATTTTCTCATCACATTTTGTCTTTCGAATAGCGAAAAAAAACGCTAAGAGGATGGCGTAGGTCTAATGTTTGTTGAAATCCCAGATTTTTTTCTTTGCAAAAAAGCAATTTTTTGCCTCTTCCTGCAACTATAATATTGGAGATAGAATGAAGTAGTAACGATGACCAAGTATTCCGAATTGGTTTTTTGAAGAAATCTAGATGCAAGTCAATCAGCATTTGTCCGAGATGTATCGTATATTTATTTCGAATTTTTTAAATAAAAGGGGCTGTCACGACTGATTGTAAGTTCTCTTAATAAATTCTATGGAGGGTGTGGCTACCGCACCAAGAAAAACTTAATGTTACTTATAGAGTGCAGTTCGAAATAACATTGTAAGCAGATGGATGGACGAACAATGGTGATACTAGCAGGGATAGAACAATCACGCAAAACTTTGGTTCAAATGTGGACAGCTACAATTTTACTGATAAAAATGATTCTCTAGAGAATGTAACAATTAATACTTAGTACTTGAAATTAGTGGATTTCAAATAATACTCTTTCTTTATTACAGGCATCCGGGATTCCATTATTCGCAAACGCACGCTTCCAACTCAGTCTTATGCTGGACAAGTTTACAGATATAGAGTAAGTATTTCCGAACTCTAATGTCATGTTACGTAATAATTTTTCGTAACAAAGGGTTCAGAGGTATATTTATAGTACTATTTTTGCAGATGTTGTACATGCATGGGTAATGCATGTAAAAAGTATTTATTGAAATTTTGCTTCATGTTATAAGAACTACTAGAGTAGTAGTGGGCAGTGATTGGGGCTGATTGATTGTTGGAGGAGCTATTCATATCGTTTTCCAGGAGTAGATTTGATTAGTCGTTTACTACTTTCGTTCTTTCTTAAGAAAAACTTTTATTTTGTTAATTGGAAATGGGTCAACCTCTTTTCATTTAGAAGCATATAGTCATATCAGCGAATGTTCGATGTAGCTTGAAAAATAAATGTTTCTCCGAATGACAAGTAAAATAATAGTTTCATTATCGCGACTTACTGGTTTTAAGAAAATTAAAATAGAAACATATGTTCTCGCATTAAATATGAAAGTAATTAAACACAACAAATATTTATTTTATATTTTGGTGTTCCTTGAATATTGACGATTTGCTAAGGTTTCATTTCTATTGTTCTGACTTGCTTGGCAAATCTCAAGCCTTTGAAAATCATTAAAAACAAAGTCTTGAAAAATACCCAAACACCTGAAGAAAACATATTTATGTGCATATATGCTGGGTTTCTTTGGTATAAGGTAGGTTAAACAAAATATATGTATACGAAGTATAAACATACGTTTATTAAATTTGAACATGACAAATAACCTGCATCTTTTTAAAAGACACCTACAAACTGGCCTGTTCCATACGTAAACATAGTAAGGGAGATCGGGACTTAGAAATACTGGCTTAGATGGTTCAAGCCATCAGTTGATGTCACTACAGTGTCTCTGACTGGATGGTCCTAATAGGTATGTCCTGTTTCCCTTACCCGGCGACAGTGTGGATAGGCGCCCCTTGTTTTCAGTTTGCCCTGAGAAGAATATTTCTTAAAGCTTGTACATAATGATAATAATACATACAAAAATACCTTAGTTAAGAATTAGTCTAAGAATCAAACCAGCGAGATTATCTTGAAAGTATAGAAAAAATGACTTATAAAAAATGTTCTAACCATCATTTAAATAATATTCCTAAAGGTGACAGTCCAGAATTTGGCCAAATGATTTTACATGCCGTAATTAAAGTTTAAATTGATAATTTCGAATCATCAGCAGGAACAAATTATTCAGGAATAGAGATTGGGATGTCTGAAGTTAATTGAAATTCATGGATATTCAGCCACTTTTATAAAAAGAAACTATTCCAACAATTATTTTTGAAAAGTATTTATCTCTAACTAGATTATTATCAACAGGAGTAAATGGCCAAAAACGATTTTAGTTAAATTTTATTGTTTGTCATTTAACGCACGCGTTGAAATCCACATTACACCCATTACACATTTTCTTCACTTACTAAACACTGTAATATTACCTGTACCTGCCCATCTTTCTTTGGGTCGTACCTTGTCATTCATAGATGGTTCAAATTTTATCAGTCAGTTCACCTATTTTTTCTCAAATGGAACTTATTTACATGATCTAATTTCCATGATTTATTGATAATGAAACTCATTATCATGATATTCTTCATTAACTGAACTTTAAGCTAGAAAAAATACATATCAAGGATAAGTGTCCTGATTCATTATGGTACTTAGAATTCGCGGAGCGTTTTAATTCTGCTTTATTCAATTAAAATACAATCCTGTTAGCCTTGGGATTGGAAATTAAATTGATGACCGGAAGTGCGGCACTGGTTGTTAGTTATCTGCGAATATGTACTAAACTTTTTGTGATTTTTGTGGGTCTTAAGTCAGTATCTTTGAAACAGTATTGTCGAAATTATTATCATGACAAAAGATTTATGAACTGTAACAAAACCTGACATACTACATGCCAGACTTTAGTATTGCAACCTCAATTCGAGTTCCTTGAACCCTCTTATTATAATACATGCTATATCCACTAATGGAAGATGTTCCTGAGGCGGCGCACACACATTCGTAGGCACTATAAATCAAGAACCAAGTAATTTCTCCTTTTTTAAATACTTATTCTCTTTGTTCAACAGCAATGATTACGACGATTTAAAAAAAAAAGTTACATTTTCGATCTCGCAGTCGTCAGACTAGTAACCTTTATCCACGTGGAGTTGATAATATAATAAAATGATGAAATTTTGATTTCCATCGTTCAATATTAAATTCAATATTATTTATAAATTTTATTTTTGAATTTACTGAATGTTCATGGTGGTTGGAGCATATCCTTAGGATAACTTGAAAGAATACGGCAATTTCGTTTTGTTTTACCTAACCCAAATAAATTTGTGCAAGGGGAAGATGAGATATTAGAGAAAATTTGGTTATAGTGTTGATATACAAGTCAGGAAGCCCGATGCGTAATATTCTATGAATCTGTGTGTTAGGAATAAATCAATTATCTTTAATAATTCTGCATAGGAATTTATTTTCTATTGCTTGTAATTTTTTTCAAATGGTTAGGGGCACTTTTGCACTCAATTGGGCAGATATATCAGAGTCAGCCGAATTATTGATTTGTATTTTAGTGAACCACATTCATTTTAAAGGAATATTTAAAATTTATAAGCAGACTAATTTTAAAATTTTTGTGAATTTTTTATTAGCTTTTGTATGAATATGAGATGACAACGTTAGTTTTTGATCGAAAAGAACACCAAGAAATTTTACCGCAATATTTCTTTTTGTCCATGACGCAATAAAGTAATTGAGTTTTAATCGCGGAAGATACTGATATCGGCCTAAAGTAAGAATTTTAGCTTGAGATCTGTCAGTGTTGATCTTTATTCCCCCTTTTCGGAGAATAGCCGAATACAAAATATATTTAATTCTAAATAAATAAAGGTGTTAGCCTACCGCTTACCTTAACAAAACCAGTCAATATTCATGGAACCAGGGCCGCATCACCTTTTTGTCAGAAACACACCAAGGAAAATAGCACATATGGGATTCTTTTATGGTGTCTGTAGCAGAACAAAGTACAAGGTTAACATGCAGAAACCTCAATACAGCTGTTGTAACTTCATTGTGACCACTTTATTTTCCGAGCGTGGACATTAAGCTCACTGTTACCCATTGGTGCATTTACCTTTAAAGGGTGTTCCTTTTGGCAAATTTGGGTGAAGTAACTCCAAGTATGTTCAAGAGAGAAAATTGGGCACCGCTTCCATTGACGTTTATTGCAGACGCAGTTAAGGAACGATTGCGTCAGCAAAAGTCATGGGCTTCATTTATAAGGTCACTCAGTTCAAGCAATTAATTAAAGCTAACGTCTTCGTACTCATTTTTACATCAGAATTTCAGTTATTCATTGATATTAGTGTGTAGATAATGCACGCTATGAAAACGATCAAGTTTTGTCCATAATTCCTCATGTCAATGCCTTACAAAAAATGATCTTATCTGAGAAAACATGCAGAGAACACGGAACGAAATGCATAAATCATAAAGTACGATTCAGTTCCACGATTGTGATGCAACAGAAGCAATCCTTGACATACTGTCTCATTCAGTTACTCAGGAACTAATGAACAAATCATCACTGCAAATACATTTATTTTATTCCTATGTTTATTTGGCGTAAAAAACAGTTAAAACATGTACCTTTGTTTTTATGATTATGTTGATGTACTGTACTACGAAACAATATTGAATACCCGACTTTGAATTGCTTAATTAGGCTACCGATATGCAAGTTCTGATAATAACAGTAATAATAATGACTTTATTTCTGGCAAGTCTCAGGCCGTAGGGTCTGATCTTCCGCTTAAACACTTAAATATTTTTACATTAACGTAAGTACAATTGAATCGTTTGGATTTAATGATAACTGACATTTCACATTACTTACGAAAGTTCAAATCCTGATGAAATTAAATAACAGTAATATGCTGCATATAAAGTATGAATGTGTTTTAAGTGTCAATTTGTCTGGATTCTAAAGTTAATATGATACAAAGAGAACCTTTGCACCTTATTTACAAAAAAGGCGTAATAATTGTGTACTTTCGTGAAGACTGAATTGAATTGAGTTGAATTGAATTGAATTGAATTGAATTGAATTGAATTGAATTGAATTGAATTGAATTGAATTGAAT